CTCTTCTTTTATGTCATCTTTTCAAAATGTTCTCCAGTTAAGTTATAATTTTCTCCATAAAGATTATGCACACATTTTGTTATATTTATTCCTAAGTATCTCATAGTTTTTGTTATTACAAATGACATTTTCTGAAAACAAAATCTATTTGTTTATTGCTGTGGTTATAGGTATATTGATGTTTGTATATTCATCTTCCCTCCAGAAAGGGATATATTAATTTTGTTTGTAGGTTCTCATATATTATCTTTGTAAATAATCCATCATCTATATATAGTGATGACTTTATTTCTTCTTTTTCTAAATGTGCCAGTTCAGACACCCCCAACAGTAAAAAGAAATAGTAAAAACTAGTATCCTTAAAAATTTTTTTTCTTTATTGATTTTAGAGAGAGAGATGGAAACATCGATGAGACAGAACATCAATTGGCTGCCTCCTGCATGCCTCCCACTGAGGATGGGCCCACAACCTGGGTATGTGCCCTGACTGAGAATCGAACCAGCGATCTCTTGGTACATGGGTCCACACTCAACCACTGAGCCACACCAGCCAGGCAAAACTAGTATCCTTGTATTGACCTTGGAAGTTATTTTCTACTCCTAGTAAGCTAGATTTTTTAAATATCATGAATTAGTGTTAAACTTTATCCAATGCATTCTCTGTACTTACTGGGACAATCATATATATATAATTTTTTGTTGTTGGTAATCCTCACTGGAGGATATTTTTCCATTGATTTTTAGAGAGAGTGGGAGGGAGAGAGAAACATTAATGTGAGAGAGACACCTTGATTAGTTGCTTCCTGCATGACCCCAACCAGGGCTGGGGATTGAACCTTCCAGTCAAGGTATGTGTCCTTGACTGGAATTGAACCTGAAACCCTTTGGTTCATGGGCCAACACTGAGCCAAGCTGGCCAGGGTGAATCACATGTTTTTTACCTTTTTCTAATCTTCACCTAAGGAATGCTCTTATTGATTTTAAAGAAGGGAGGGAGGAAGGGAGGGAGAGAGGGAGAGAAAGATTGATGTGAGAAACATTAATCAGTTGCCTCCCATATGCATCCCAGTTGGGGATCAAAACTGCAACCTAAGTATGTGCCCTGATCAGGAATTGAACCCACAACCTTTTGGTGTATAGGATGACACTCCTAATTGAGCTACCTGGGCAGGGCTGTTTTTTTTCCTTTTAATATGTCAATGTCATAAATATTGTTAACAGGCTTTTAAAGTAGACCATCCTTGCATTCCTGGAATAGACCCTTCTTTGTCACACATGCACATATACACACATGCACATATACACACAGTTGCACAAACTCCACTGGATTTTGTTTGGTAATATTTTATTTAGAATTATTAGTTTTAGAAGTGTGATTGGCCATTTTTTCCAGTTTCTGGGACAGTTATATAAATAAACAGTTTCTCTAAGTCTGGCCAGTGTGGCTCAGTGGACTGAGCATCCTCCCATGGACTGAGAGGCCCTGGTTCAATTCCCAGTCAGGGCACATGCCCGGGGTTGTGGGCTGCTCAGTCCCCAGTGGGGGGCATGCAGGAGGCAGCCGATTGATGCACATTGATGTTTCTATCTCTCTCCCTTCCTCTCACTCTAAAATAATCAATAGAAACATTTGAAAAAAAATTGGTAGAATACATCTATAAAACTGTCTAGGTACTGTGTATGTGTGCATTTTTAGCTTCTAGTTCAATGTTAGAATTTATAGATCTGTCTAGGTTTTCTATCTTTTGAGTCAGCTTTGAGTACCTTGCTTTTAATTTCCCCACCTCTTCAGGACCAAGACCTCACCTCCTGTCCCCAGGAGGCTAAAACTCAGGCCCTTAGTTAAAAGAACCAATTCTCCATCAGCCCCCTTCTGGTAACTGTAGCCCCAGTCAGATCATCCTCTGGTTTTCCATTTCCTCTTTGTTTTTAGTACCTGGGATTTTGCTTTCCTTTTGAGAACTCGGTCATATATTTAATTTTCCTCATATTGTATCCAGTATTTGTGGGTGGTGGTGCTTTCAGACTTCCTAATTCTTCTATTTGCTTTGATTCTGAAGTTCCCATTTTATAGATAAGAAAGCTAGGGTTCAGAGTGGTTTCACATCCTGCTGAAGGTCACACCAATAATACTGTTAACCTAGTTACTGAACCCAGACATTCTGGTTCCTGATCATTATTCCATGCGGCCTTCCAAAGCCTGAAGCATCTAGCCCCTTGCCCCAGATCCTGGCACTGATGCATCCACTTGACCAATATTTCAACTCACTATTCACGGAGTGTTCAGTTCCAGGTCCAGGGAGTGGAGAGTGAGCGCGCGGCCACGCCCCGCGCCTGGCAGCTGACCCGCTCAGGGAAATGCACACTCGCAACCGTGCCACATGCGCAGTAACCGGGCACTGAGCTGACTGGGGCTCCAGTTACCAGGAAAGGTACACCGTGGTGTGGGAGCTCAGAAAAGGGGAATTTGACCCCAAAAGGAAGGTTAGGGTACCTTCCCTGAGGGTGGGGTAAAGAAGCTGAGATCTGAAGAATGAAAAGGACCCGAGAGATGGAAGAGCCGTTCAGGAGGAGGGTCCAGCCTCTAGCAGGCACCGAGGCTCCCTGCGGAGGAAGCACAGGCGGACAGGAAGAGAGAGGGGCCTCGGGGCGGGTGAGGGGAGAGTGAGAGGTGGGAGCTGAGGCCAGAGAGGCTGGCTGGGCCACACCTGGGAGGGCCTTAGAGGCCAGGTTAGGGACTTGGGTCTTCAACCTGCGACCTTTGGGAAACCACCCAATGAGTTTAAGTGGGGTACCTGAAACAATCAGATTTGCATTTCAAAAAGGTCTCTCCTACTGGGCGTGAAGCCTGTATTAGAGAAGCCATTCCCTGCCACTGCAGCTAGCGCCAGGATTCAGACCAGATGGTCCAGCGGGTGGCTGAACTGGGCGGTGGAGGATGAAGAGTGGACAGAGGAGAGATATTACAGGGGATACAGTTGATAGGACTAAATGCTGGATTCAGTATTGAGATGCGCACCGTGAACACCTCTCCATCAAGTCCTTGGTAGGCAGGGGCCATATCATATGTGTGTGTATAATATCCAGGTCCCGGAACAGGCCCGACCCATGGCGGCCTCGATAGTATTTTCTGAAAGTGTGAAACTGGCTAGTGGTCCCTAAGTGATTTATTTTAACTGTGAGGGTCTTGAATTCCTTCTTGCCCAGGTCTGCCTGAGTCTAGTACCAGCCTTTCTTTCTCCACCTTGCTCCTTTGCATTGTTAGTTATTCCCCTACATGTATCTCAGTCATTATCAAAATAGTCAAGTTCCCTTTTGTGTACTTTGTATCTCTCACTTTGTCTAGCCCATACATGCAGACTTAACTGTGAGAAGCTGATGGACTTGGGGGAACTAACCCAGGGAAGCCAAGACTGGAACAGAAGCTGAGCACCACCTTCCTCCACACCTCCAGCCAGACTGGGGAAGAACACCTGGTCAGGTAGGATCGTTATTTTTTCCTGGTAGGTGGGTAAAGGAGACTTACCTAGGTCAACACTTCGGTGTATCTCCCCCACGGTGTCACCTAAGAAAACAGGCACGTCTGCAAAGTTCACTGTCATGGGGGCACAGGAAGGTGAGAGGACACTGGTTGCAGAGAGGGCGAGAGGAGAAGTGCGAGGTTGAGAGATGAGGAGGGATAGAAGGGCTGTGAGGCGGAAGGACAGGTGACGGGGCTGCAGGCTGTTCCAGAGTGAAGAGGACGGGAACAGAGACAGAAGAGGCTGCCGGGTCAGTTAGGTCTGGGGAGAATGAGTGGGGTGACGCTCCCTGGAACCAAAAGCGAAGCCCCCCCAATTTCATACTCTTGGCTTTCCTCTCCCGACTCCTCAGCATGTTTCTCTTTGAAATTCCAGGAGCAACGCCTACCTTCCTCCCGCCCCAACATGCCCTCGCGCCGCACTCCCTGGATACCAGGGGTGGGGATCAGGTTCCTGGGAGGTGGGTGTAGAAAGGGGCTCCTTAGAGGGTGGAGGGGGTGTTGTCTATTTCTGCCAGGCGAGACATCTCGGGGTGATCCCAGGTCTGTGGTACTCGCAGAGACGGAAGGATTCCCGTGCGTCTGCGGTATGGAGGGTGCTAGGAATGAGGGAGTAAACTGGAAATCCTGAACGTGCACTGGGGTGTCCCGGCCGGTCACACCGAGGCCGATTCCTCCGCCTGCAGAGAGCCAAGCAAGCCACAGGAATTTGGGGCGGATCGAGGTGGGGGTGGGGGGCGAAGGGCAACGAAAACAGGAAGTGAGGGGCAGAAAGGCTGAAGCTGGAGAGGGAGCCAGGGAACGGCCGTTCTTCCGGGACAGGCGGTTCCTCCTCTCCACTCGCTGCCCTCAGCCCTGCACCCCTGTCCTGGGCTCGCTCTTGGAAACCTGGCTTCACTTTGATGCCCCGCCGCTCGGCTCACAGCCGCGGCCCTAACAGGCACCAAAGGACAACTGAGGCGGCCCTCCCTCCCTCCTCTCTGCCCGAGCCACCCCTCCTCCCAGACACCGGGTGGCCAAGGAAGTGAAGCTGGGAGGTTCTCCCAGCCTTCCCCACCTCCCTCTTTTCTTCCCAGCTGTAGAAACCGAATCATTGCAGTGAAGGAGTTCCCCGCTGGCAAACCTCACCGTCCTGTCCCCCTACAAACATTCCTTACTCTCGAGCTACTTTCCTGCTTTCCCTTTGGAACTGAAACTCTGATTTCAGCCTGGGTGACAGGGTTTAGGGGGCCAGTTTGGCACCTGACTTCGCATACCTCTGGGCTCTTGCTCCTGTCTCTACCAGCTTCACTGATTGTTCCTCCCTATTTTTGTACTTGCTATTTGGAGGTTCAGAAATATGGGAATTATACACCTTGAAAAACCTTTGACATTCCCCCCCATTTCCAAGGCTGATTCTATGTGACTTCTGGGCTTCCCTCCCCAGTTACCCCGCTCCCTTCTAGTACACCCCTGATAAAGAGACACACAGAACTGCAGGTTTCAAAGAGGAAAAAAAGCAAAATTGTTGTTGTTGGTAGGAGGGCATGGAAGGAGGGCTCTTCACCTTACCCAGCTGTCTTGTAGATGGGCGGTTTGAGGCAATAGAAAAGGCAGTCGATGTGGGTGCGTGCCCCACTCTGTACAATATAGAAGAATCTGATATACTTTGTATAAAAGCCACATGTCCTCATTTGTGTCCTCTTGCTGGCTGGCCAGGCTGGGGAGGGTCACTGGGGGACAAAAGCTGGGGTGGTGGGCCAGGACACAGGGATACCCCAGGGTCCCCATCCTCTGGCTGTCCCCTTGTGGGGTCACTTTGGATCCTTGGTGGGGGCATAGCAGAGCTCCAGTGGCCGGGACACTTTCCAGAATTTCTCATTCACCAGCTCCAGCGTCAGAGAGCCATTTAGTGTCTACAAAGGGAGTGGGCGAAAGAGGCAGGGGAAGAGAAAATAAAGTTGGAGAAGACAGTCAAGGAAATGAATGAGAGGCGATCAGGGGAGGAGGTAAGAAAAAGAAATAATGAGGAGATGGGGCAAAGCAGGAGCGCGTGGAGTGACAGAGGAGAAGGACAGGGAAGGAGAGGGAGATGCAGAGGAAGAGAGGCCAGAGTCAAGGTCATGGCTGTGTGTGGCCCCAGGCCACCCTTCCCTCTTCCCCAGACCACTGCCCTCTCAAAGGCTCTCACCGTGAAAGCTCCACCCCCGGGGGCGATATAGATGGTGTACTGCTTTTCACTGACACCCTCCAGACTGGGCAAGGCAGGCTCTTCAGGGCTGTCACCTCCTCCGGCACCCCCACCTTCCCCACAACCCCCATCAGGTCCCCCAGCATCAGAGGCGCCCCCTCCAGGTCCTCCTGGCTCCCCGGCCTCTTGCTGCTGCCTCCGCTCCAGGGCTATGCGCAGGGCCAAGTACTTGGAGAGATGGTCCACGGTGGCATTCCCAGTTGTCTTCACATACCTGCAGTGGGAAAGAGGGCACATTTAGGGCACAGGAAGCCTCAAATGCAGAAGAGAAGTAGGGACTTTCCAAAAGGGTCTCTGGGTTAGGGTTTCTTTCTTGGCTGGGTAAAGCCCACTTTTTTTTTTTTAGTGGGAGGGAGAGAGAAACATCGACGTGAAAGGGACACATCGAGTGGTTGCCACCTGCACAACCCAACCAGGGCCGGGGACAAACTACAACCGAGGTACATGCCCTTAGCGGGAACCGAACCTGGTCTCTCTGGACCGTAGGCCAACACTCTAACTGCTGAGCCAAACCGGCCAGGGCGAAGCCCACTTTTGATGGGAGGCTATGTGATCTTTGGTTTCTCAGTGGTCTGGGGAAACACAGGGCTCTCACCTAGTCTGGCAGTATTCTCCTTTCTCCACGAGCAGTGGGTGGGGCCGGAACACGAGCTCAATTTCTCCACCTGGCTCCGGGGGACTGGGGGCCCCAGGAGGGCTTGGGGGACCCAGGGTACCCCCTCCCAGGGTCCCTACCCGGTCACCAGAGTCTTCAGAACCAGCGCCACCACCCACCCCACCAGTGCCTCCTCCCCCTGTCCCTACACTGCTCCCCCCTGCACCCCCTACACGGCGTCGCTTGGGAGCAGGGCCCGGGGCAGAGTCAGGTGCAGAGTCTGAGCTCACATCCTCCCCATCCCCCTCTCCCTCCCCGGGTTCTCCTTCCCCTCCACTCATCGTGGTGGTCTGATCTGACCCAGGCATCGGCCGCCTCACACGCTGGGCCCTGTAGAAGCAAGTGGTTGAGGTTAGAAAGCATCAAGGGTAAGGGGTTTAGACTTTAAACTTGAGATTGAAGAGATTGGGGAAATCTTAACGATGACACCTGATATTTATTAAATACTACCTATGTGCTAAACACACTGCTAAGTGTTTTGCATTGATGGCCTCCCATAATACGTCTTACAAGACAGGTAATTACATTAGCTGTATTTTATGCCTGAGGAACTAAGGCTTAGAGAGGTTAAAGAACTTGTTTGCGATCACGGCCTCTCACCTTTTCAAAGGCCCGTCCAAGCACCGGTAGGTAGCATAAGCTTATAGAAATGCAGAATTTCAGGCCCAACTCCAGACTTACTGAATCAGAATTTGCATTTCTAACAAGACCCTTAGGTAATCTGAATACATATTAAAGACTGAGCAGTGCTGGCCTAGCGGGTGACCAATTTCCCAGGGTGTGAGTCCGGAGGTCATACTCTAAATCACTTCACTGTTCTAACTTATAGAAAGTTAGAAGGTGAGCCATTTTCTTCTTAAGAATAGCCGTGTCAGTTGCTAAGAAGCTGCGATTTACATCCATGACTTCAAAGCCTGACAGTCAGGTGACAGTTAGCTCTTAGGGTGCTAAGTCTTAGAAGATGGCAGGCAGCAAAGTCAGCACCGGGAGTCTGACCCGCGGATCTGTCCCACCAGCCCTGCCACCGCTTCGCTCCTGGTCCCGAACCTGTGCATGGCCTGCATGCGCAGCCCTTCCTCGATGCTGGAGCTCAGTGCCTGCTGGTTGTGCAGGCGGCTGAGTCGGATGAGCACCCGGTCTTGGTGGGCCTCATATTCCTCCCGGCTTGGATAGATCTTCGAGATCAGGGCATCAAAATTAGGGTCTGGTCGCAAAGACCGCTTAGATACCAGCTTCTTGCGGCAGGTAGGGCACTCCTTGTTCCTGGGGTGGGAGAGAGTAGGTCCTGAGCAGTCAGTCACCAGGGCATTGAGGCCTCAACTCTGAATCTTTTACCCCATCTCAAATCTGTCCCTCCTATTACCCGCTCCGCAGGGCTGTGACAATGCAGTCAGAGCAGAACCGGTGGAGGCACTCCTTGGTGGTCATTGTATTCTTCAGCATGTCCAGGCAGATGGGGCACATGAGTTCTGAATGCAGCGACCGAGGGGAAACTGCAATCTCTGTGCCATCCATGATAGCTTCCTGGAGGCATCAGCGAGTGGAAAGGTGGTGGTGGATTGGGGGTGGGGGGGAAAGTTTTAGAAATAAGTGGTCCGCCCTGGCCAGGTAGCTCAGTTGCTTAGAGCACTGTCCCAATACCAAGGTTACAGGTTACTCCCTGGTCAGGACACATACAAGAAGCAACCACTGACTGCATAATACGTGGAACAAGTCCAAACTTCTCTCTCTCGCCTTCCCTCTCTCTCTCAAATCAATCAATCAATCAATAGATCAATCAATAGAAAACAAAACAAACAAACAAAAAAGGAACAAGTGGCCATGGAATGGCAGTTTTGAAAAATACATGGAGATGGCAGAATCTGGGTATCCCATGTTGGCCACTTGAGAAAGACGGGAATTCTGAGAGAGAGAGGGAGCTACTGATTTGGAGGGAATGGAGAACAGAAAGAAGAATGTCCTCTAATTAAGAGTAGGAGCTTTGCAACAGGAGGATCTGAGGTTTGGAGAGATACCTGAAGAAGGTTGGGGGCGGGGGCACAGATTTGTGGTTTGAGGAAGACTTATTCAACAGAATTTCTTAAAGTGTGGTCCTGGTACTACTTATATCAGACTCTGGGGCCCCATCCCATTATTGTATAAGAAAGTTGTTGTGGGTGGGAGGCAGGCCCAAAGCTCCATTTTCAATAAACTCCCAAGGTGAGTCTTATAGGCACTGGTCTATGACACTGAACTGAGAAACAGGAAAAAGGTCAGTGCTGTCTGTTTACTATCTTTCAAAAAAAAAAACAACAGTAAAATTTGCTCTCTCTCTCTGGCTGTTTTGAGAAGTAAATGAATATGAAAGTGGTTTGAAAAGGTTAAGATGATTCATAGGTAGGGCCAGGGTTCAGTAGAAGGGGCAAAAAGTGGAAAAAAGGTGGTGAGAGGAGGTCTGTGGGTCGAAGGGCCCGGGGACAGGCAGTGAGCTGTGAAGGGAGAATCCCGTCACCTGCGGGGTCCGGTGGAGCTCATACAGGCTCAGTTCCCACGTTTTGCTGGCATTCTGGGCATTCGCCGGCGTCGTCATGGTGACCGAGCACAGACCCCTGCCGGGGCTCCGCGGAGGAGGAGGAGAGGTGGGCTGGGGAGAGGGGGAAGGGAAGGGACAGGGTTAGGGGGCCCCTCGCGCAGACCCCGCCCCCCGGAGCCCCACGCCGTTCCCGGCCAGCGCGGCCCCTCACCCGGCTCCCGCCGTCCGCGCCGCCGCCGCCGCCGCGCCCGCCCGGGTCCCGACTCCGGGCCGAGTGCGCTCGGTCCGCAGCAGCTCTCAGACAGCAGCTCCCGCCGCCGCCGCCATGGCCCGGGCGCTGGGGCCCGACGTCACTTCCGCCTGCCGCTCCGCTCCACTCCCCCCACCGGCGGAGACGTCACCCGCCACTCGCGGCACGGGTGGGACGCGACGTGGAGCCGGGGTTCCCCCGCCCTCGGGACGCGCCCGCCCCACTCCAGGAGCGGCGTCCCCCGCCACGTGGGACCGCGGTCTTCCGCCCCGGCCCAGCACCGTCGCGCGGCCACCCTTTGCCGCCGTCCCTTCCCGCGGCCCCCGCCGGGCCTCCGCTCCGGAGGGCGGGGCCTGGGGTCGCTCGGAGCCCTGGAGGGGACGGGATGGGGGTTGCAAAAGGGCCACCTCCCCCACTCCGCATCCCCTCGCGGCTCGGGGGGACTGCTCCTCATCCCCACCCGCAACTTCTTCGTAACCCCAGCCCGGGATTCCAAGGGGACGCTGCCGAGGATCCTCTGGCGCTCGGTCCTCCAGTCCTGTGAATGCAACTAAGTCCCGAAGTGCCGGGATTCCCCTTACCACCCTGGGGCTGGCTCCACCCTCCGCTTGGCTCTCCCAGACCCTCCGACCTGCTCTCCCCGCGAGGTTTGGGGGCGGCGGCTCGGGACGTCCAGACTCAACTCTCGGCCGGAGCCAGAGACTCGAGAATTGCGTTTGGACAATCAGGAGCCGCGGCCCGGGCGGGGGAGGGAGGCGCACGGGAGGAACGGGGGAATGGAGACACCACGCGGAAGCAGGGACACACACACAAGATGGGGCCCCTGGCGGGGAGGGGGTGTGCGCGCGCGTGTGGAGCGGGGCACAGGGGCCGAATGTCTGGAGTGGGAAGCGGGCGGAGGCCTCCTCCAGGACTTTGAAGTAAAGGAAGAGGACCCGGAGGCAAGAGAAGAGGAAGGGGCAGAGCGATCCCCATTGAGGGAAGGAGATGAGAGGGATACAGGGGGAAAGAGACCGTGATAGGCGTCCCCGTCTCCTCCAGCCTGAGCTCCCGGACTTGGGCTGCAGATGCCAGGTGTGGCCTGTTTCTGGGACAAGGCAGCAGTGGGTCCCCTCACCCCCTCCCCCAGTTACCCCCTACTTCCCTGTCCTCTCTCCTTCAGTCCGTGGCCAGTCCTTATGTGGGCTCCAGAGTCGATTAGCGCAGACCCCCTCCCCTTCCTCCTCCTCCTGCCAGCCCCCTCCTTTCTACTCTCCTCTAGCTCCTTTCATCGCTGGTCCATTCCCCTAATCCTGGCCCCCTCCTGTAATCCCCCCCATCCGACCCTAGGCCGGCTGCAGCTATTGTAAGGTGGAGAGAAAGGGGAAGGGGGACTCAGATAAAGGAGAGGGGTGGGGGAGGGCCACCTGTTCCAAGACCCCCTCCTAAGGCCAGACTGGACATCTCGATGGGGCCATGAACAAATCACCCTTGGGGACTATAACAACCCTGAGTACTGGGGGGAGGAAACTGGGGCTGCAGGACTAGAGGTAGGGGGTGGAGCATAGACCCCCTCCCTCCAGAAAGACCCAGAGTGTCACGAATACACAGTGACACACACTCCCTCCTCACACCCGGCGGCAGGGGTTGCCCTGGGAGACCAGGCAGTGAAAGGGAACAATCCTTTGGGAAAGGGGAAAGAGGGGGAGGTGGGGAAGGGTCTGAGGGCTTGGACACAAGAAGAACCGGAGGTGGCAGGGAAGAGGATTTGGAATTTATTAAGGTCACAAGCTCCCCTGCCTCCCATATTCAGCATTCTTGAGCCATACACTGCCACCTCTTTTGTAGCCTGGGAACTCAGTCCTCATCAGCAGGAGGCTGGGCAGAGTGGTGGGGGGAGTGAGCGGAGTCCAGGGTCCTTGAGGCAGTTACATGAAAAGACCTCCTGGGAGGGGCAGAAACATTTGGACAGATGCATAGGTGGAGACAAATGAGCTGGGAGGCGCCCACCCTCTTCTATCGCTGGCCTTCGGGAACTTCTGCCCTTCCTTCAGTGGCTCCAGACTCCTCTCACTCACTTTCACCTGTCATCTGGGTTTCACTTCCCTGCCCTCTCCCTCCCCGGGATGGCCTCATACCAGTGACTTCCACTGAGGCCCCGGTGATGTATCCACTGTCATCAGATGCCAAAAATGCGACCACATCTGCCACATCTATGGGAATGGTGAGGAGAGGGCAGAATCCTACTTACTCTTGTAGACCCAAAAGAGCCATCATCTTCCACCAGAAACCCCCGCCCCAAAACACAACTTTAACCCTGGTGAGACCCTCTCAGATACCACAGACTTTGGGACCAGTTCATTCAGGGCCTTCCCCAGGGCTTACTCTTCACTCAGTGCTCACCCTCAGGGTTCCCCAAATGTCCCATTGGGATCAGTCCAGTCACCTGTAAGGAAACACTCATATGTGTCTGGAAGTTTCTTTCATGGATTTTTTTTTTTCCTTTTTGTAGATTGAGTCTGTGACCCTTTTTACTTCCGTCTTCATTCTGTGTATACTTATCGATTGCCTGCTTCTTGCCAGGTACTGTGTCCAGCATTCTCTTGCTCTCTCAAGCCCAGAGAGGCTAAGTCCCTGAATGTTTCTGCTCTCTGCCCTCCACCCATGGCCTCCTACCTTGTCCAGCACTTTCTGTGACACTTTCTGTGTCATGGGTGTTGTTATGAACCCTGGAAGGACGGAGTTACAGCGGATCCCATGTCTGTGGAAGGGAGAGCAGCTGCTGACTCTGGAGAAGACTGAACAATGACTCCCTCCTCCCCCTTCATCAGCTCCAACATGCTTCAGCAAACTCCCCTGTACCCCCAGGTATCTGACCAACCTTCCAAGCTCCCGGGCTACAGTCTGGGTCAGCCCAATCACTCCAGCCTTGGATGCTGAGTAGTTTGTCTGTCCCATGTTCCCCACCTATAGATGAGCCAGAGATGTGGGATGAATCAGGAGTCCCAAGGAGAGGCTCTCATCTCTATGCCCTGACCTCATCCCAATTCAACCTGACCTTCCCTACGATGCTACTGATGTTGATGATGGAGCCGTGACAACCACTGGACACCAGGGCTTGGGCTGCGGCCTGGGTGACTAGAAAGATGCCCTGGCAGGGGGAGAGAGTAACACAGTAGAAAGGATCAGCTGGGTGACAGTCATCCTCCAACTCTCTTCCCAGGTTCAAGGGGCCAGAAGTCACAGGTTCAGAGGTCACCACCTTGAGGTTGACAGCTATGACTTTGTCCCAGTCATCCTCAGACATGTGGAGCAGAAACTCATCCCTGGTAATACCCGCACAGGACACAACGACAGATGGCGGGCGAGAAAAGCAGGCCTATGGAAGAGGGAGGTTACACACCAAGAAACCAGGAAGAGCCAGGGGCAGTGGAGGCAGTTTGAGCGCTTAAAAGGGGCCGAGGTAGATCGTGTTCACCTGCACTTGTTCCAGCAGGTGCCTGGCGGCCTGGGCCTCAGACACGTCAGCCTGGAAGGCAGCGTGGGCTCCGCGGGGCGCCCCCTTCTCGCTCCCAGGCCCGCCCAGCAGCCGCACCGTTTCCCTTGCCGCTGCCCCGTCCAGGTCGCAAGCGGCCACGGCGGCCCCTTCTTGGGCCAGGCGCACACTGACGGCTCGGCCGATGCCGCTACCCGCACCTGCAGTGGGACAGAACCCGCAGGGGTGGGGTGTGGGGAGAAATGGGCAGGGGTCAGAGGTTAACGGCGCAAAGTTACTAATATTCGAACAGTGGCGAGAGGTTACTTCGGCACCCCAACCCGCCCTGAAAGAGCACCCCCAACCTGTGACCAAGGCCAGCGCAGAGCGGAGCCGGAGCTGAGTCGCCATGGCTGGCTGTGGGCGGGCGGGCACCCCAGCCCGGAGCCAATCCGGGCGCAGAAGAGGCGTGGCGAGAGCAAAGCCGAGCCAATTGTAGCCCCGCCAGCGTTAGGCCATCTGCGGCCACCCGCTCCAATCGACCTCCCACTGCGGGGGCATGGCCAGACATTACCACTTGGGGCCTTGAGGAGCAGAAAGATGGGCGGGGGGCCCTCCCCCCAAAAAAGACAAAGACTGCGATTGGGGCGGAAGATCCGAGGACTTTATTTCCGGTCACCACCCCACGCCCTCGATTCAAACAGCGATATAAAAAAATTTAGAAACAAAATAAAAATCAGGCCATGAGATTAGCAACTAAAGCCCCTCCCAACCCTCCAAATCACGATACACGATTGATGTTTAATAGATGTTTATCCCGACTCCTGCTGCCCCCTCTGCCCAGGGCTCTCCTCCTCCCTGAGGCCTCCTCCAGCAGGTGGGAGGGACCGAGGAGGACCTTGGAGAAACCTGTGTGGCAGCTTGGTTCTCTGAGAACAGATGGGATAGGAGACTAGGGTAGGCTGCCATCACTGGTCTCTCCCAGCCTTCTACACGGCGCCATTTAGCCCCCAATACCCTACAACATGGTCAGCACATGCCCAACATTATGGTCCCTCTGGCCTCTCATTCTCATCCCTACAGCCCCTATAAGACTGTCAAACCTTGCTACCCTCATGCCAAAGCCACCACTTCCTTAGGATACAACTCCTTCCTTTGGCAGATGTGTCTGGCCAGGGCCCCCAAACTCTACAGACCCCAGACCCAAAGGGCTTAGAGGCTAGAAGTTTGGGGTTGGGGCAGTTTATCCCACCTCTCACTCGAGGTGGGCAATCAGCACCATCATGACAACTCCTCCCAGCAGCCCCAGCACCTCCAGAAGTGACTGCAATGGTGACGCCTCCCTCAACAGCTCAGGCAACACAGACACTGTTGCTACGTAGATAAAGCCACCTGCAGTGAATGGCAGAATCCAGCCAGGACCTGTGCCACCTGCAACTTCACTGCTCACTGCCCCTCCTTCAGTTAGGAGGGCACAGGCTGTGCCTGCCAGTGCCCCTATTGACGTCAGTAGTTGCAGACACATTGCCTGGTGGGCAGAAAAGAGAGAGAGGCACTCATCAACATCTAAAGTTTATCAGTGTTAGACGTGGCTGATAGGGTGTAGGTATATATGGGTAGGGTGTGTGTCTTTGGGAAAAAAACAGTATGGCAAAAAAGGGGGGGGTCTAGAATAAACACTTTCTGAAAAGTCTTAGATATCAATAAGGTCTTTTCCACAGACCTTTTGATTTAGTAATCCAGGGTGGGGAGTGTGGTGTGAAAGACCCCCATTAAACCATTCATATGGTTTATAGACCACAGTTCAAGAAATATTAAGTGCCCTGGCTTATGTGGCTCAGTTGGCTGGAACTCTGTCCTGTACACCAAAAGGTTGCGGGTTCGATTCTTGGTCAGGACACATGCCTACGTTGTGGGTTTAGTCCCTGTTGGGACATGTAGAAGAGGCAACCAATGAATGTTTCTCTCTCCCTTCCTCTCTCTAAAATCAAAGAACATATATCCTCAGGTGGAGATTAAAAAAAAATACTAAGCTATAAGAAAAAGAAACAGAACTTCCTCATTTCTAGATTTATTCTCAATAGTATGACTTGTTTGGAACTAAGGAAAGGCAGTCTTGGGTTTGGGGTGGATGAGCAGGGGGTAAAGGGTTAGAAGCAACCATGTTTGGTGCACATCATCACCAACCTGCTTTTTGCTGCAGCCAGACTGGACCAAGATGGCAAAGTCCCCAACTTCATGGGGCACTTCATGTAGCAGGACAGTCATTGTGGTCAGGATCCCTAATCCCCAACCCCCTCGAAATGAAGCACCAATGGCCAGACCATCTGTGAAGTTGTGTGCCAAGTCAGCAGCCAGATTCAAGTACCCTGATACACGTAGGTCTTACACAGGAGGAAAGGAAGACAAAATAATTAGATGCTCCATCACCCCCATCCCAGCCCTGGTAAGCCATTATCACATCTACCCCCAGAGACTACTAGACACCCAGCCCCTCAGACATCTGCCATTACCCAAAGCACATATTTCATGTGATTCATGATGATGTTCCTTGCCCAAGCTTATCACCAAATCTGGACCTACCTGAACCTGTTTTTTCCTCTTCAGGATTCTGAGGTCTCACTGGCCCATCTTTGGGCCCTGTGCCCCCTCCTCTCCGCTTCCTCAACCCCCCTGCTCCCTTTTCTTCTTCCTCTGAATTCTGTTTCTCCTTTGAAGAATGCTCTGAGGGAAGAAAGGAGTTGACAAGAGTGGGGAACAGAGACCTCCTGATATGTCCTCAAAAGGGAAGTCCCCTCCCACCCAAGAGCCATAAAGTGAAGGGATTCTGAGGCAAGCAAGGTAGCTTTCAGGAAAGTTGTTTCTGTGCTTACCCTGTGTTCCATGTCCATGACTTCCGTGTGTGTGACTGTGTCCATGACTGTGTCCGTGTCCTCCTTTCACGTGTCTCACAAATTTCTCCACCACAAGAAAGGCGACAATTCCACTGAGGACCCACAGTCCCACAGACAGAATAGGGCCCTGGCCTGGAAATGGAGGCATTGAGACATTAAGGGAGATGTGGATTCCAGACTCTTCCTCCTTCCCAAGTGTAGAAAAATTGGGAGGGATATGTCTTCCTCAGCACCCCAATCCCTGTCTCCATCTGTCCCTTCCTCACCACTGTGGGAGTGTCCATGTCCCGGCTGGTCCTGAAGATGGTGAGAATGAGGCTCTGAAAAAAGGGGTAGAAAAGGCCAGATGAAAGAATACCCGACTCCAGGGGTATATATTTGCAGAAATATTGGGAGGTCAGGGATTACAAAGGAGATAGAGTCGTTTTGCCCAAAGAACAAAATATATTAAGATCTGAGGTACAGACTTGGGGTTACTTACCCAAGGCATGAGGAATGAGGTGCAGGAAGGCATCTCCCAGGAGCCCACCAGAAGCAAAACTGAGCAAGATCTGGAGCAGAGAGCGGTGCCGTGGGGAGTTTGACTCCACAGGGATAAGGAAGAGGACGAAAAATGGAGCTGCAGAGATCAGCACTGTGGCCCCCAGTGCCTGGTGAGGAAGAGTCAGGGGTCAAGTGTGTGGGGGTTTCTCAACAATCCAGAACCAGTCCCTCTCTCCCCTATCCCCTAGGGACTCACATAAGCCCAGAGAGTGACAGTGTCCAGGTCCTGCTTGATGCCTGGAACCTCCCCAGAGCCTCCATGGCTGTGCTCATGGTCATGTCCATGTCCTCTGTGGTAGAGGTTCTCATGGGAGTGGCCATGGCTATGGTCATGATGCAAATCCTCATGTGAATGTCCATGGCCATGACCGTGGGTATGCCCATGCCAGATGCTCTCATGAGTGTGACCATGGCCGTGGGCGTGGCTGTGTCCATGGTGGAAATCCTCATGTGAGTGGCTGTGGCCATGGAAGTCCTCGTGCAGGTCCTCGTGCAGGTCACCATGACCCCCGTGTCCGGCCACTAGCAGCCCCAAGGCCGCCCAGGTCAGCAGTCCCACGGCCACCCAGTGGGGGGCCCCCAGGCCTCTGGCCATCATGCTGACCAGAGGGACAGAAACAGTGACTCCACTTGATCAACTCTATACCTATGCGAGGTCCACGTTACTCCGCTCGCGCCCTCCGTCCACTTCTAAGAGCCGCTCCCCCATTCCATTCTGCCCCCACCCGCATTGTTCCCAAGACTCGTTCTTTTTATTCCGAACCTCCTCCCGGATGTAGGGCCCCCGGGGACACGGCTCTAAGCTTTGATCATCCACCTTACAGACTCTCTGGGACCTCGTCTCTATGACGAGGTGGGGGAAAAAAGCCTGGAAAGGACGATAGGGAAAAGCGGGGAATTCTCACCAGCTCCGGGATCCTCTCCTTTCCAAGTTTGCTCGGACGTGGCAGTCCCGCCTCTAGCTCCCGCGAGAACAGGAAGTTCCGTCTCTCTCAGTCTCAGTACCTTTACCAATATGGCGCCTCTCCGGCAGCGGCGCGGCTGCCCTGCCCCGGCGCGCATGCGCGGGTGTGGAGGTTATTTGAGGGGAGGGTGGGCGAGGCCGGCTAACAGGCCAGAGGAGACCGCCTCCTCCGTTTTCAACTAGACAAGGGGGCGGGAACTAGCACGGAGACTTCCCTTCTATACTAAGATGGCTGCCACATCGGCGCTGTCATTTTGGTACAGGGCAGAGCGGAGCGCTTAATTCGATCCGGTTCAGCCCCGAGTCTTTTTCTCTAGGGCTTCTTCGTGCTCAGCTAGCCCCTCAGTCAACCTTCAGGAATCTCTGGTACCTCTCCGGTCTCCCTACACTCAGCCAGGAATCATGTCTTGGGCTGCTCGCCCGCCCTTCCTCCCCCAGCGGCATGCCGCAGGGCAGTGTGGGCCGGTGGGGGTGCGAAAAGAAATGCATTGTGGGGTCGCGTCCCGGTGGCGGCGGCGACGGCCCTGGCTGGATCCCGCAGCGGCGGCGGCGGCGGCAGCCGGAGAACAACAAACCCCGGAGCCGGAGCCGGGGGAGGCTGGACGGGACGGGATGGGCGACAGCGGGCGGGGTGAGTGTCCTAGCGAGCGGACCTGGGAGGCAGTGACCGCGTTATCTGCAACCCTTCCCCCTCTCTTGGTGCTCTATCCCTGGCGCTCCCGCCCCCTTGTTTGTAAACACGCGTCCCCTCCCTCCCGAGGGCCCTAGCGCCCTCCCCCCGGGGCGGGGCGGGGAGGGGAGGGGGGAGCTTCCGCCCTCCTAGCCCTGGCCTTCTGCGGCCCTCCACCCCGCCGCTCCCCGGCTTGGGCCACGAGTCCTCGACTTTGAGAATTCCAGACATTTGAAGGCAGGTCCTGCATTCTGGGAGGGGTCTCTGCCCTATCTCTTTTTCCTGTATGCTCAGGCGGAAAGTCGGGAATGGAGGTTTATCCCTCGTGTTGCCCCACCCACACGAGACTGGCTAGGACGTCTGTCTTGGGGTGACCAAATACATTGCTTGGAGTATTTCCTCACTTGAACTATTCTCCTCTCCTTTGTGAACCCCTTCCTGTCACCACAATTAGGAATTGAACTGTTGTGTGACAACAGGGTGTCTCTGGACTTGGGAATGGGGGTGGGAGTGGGGTGGGGCGGGGCAGGGAGCAGTGGAGGATTTGAAAGTCTTCAGTTGGATGATCGAAGACTTATTTTCTCTTTTTGTCTCCTGTCTGTGTGTCTTTGTGCCTCTGTGTACCCCTCCCCCAGATTCCCGAAGCCCAGACAGTTCCTCCCCAAATCCCCTTCCCCAGGGTGCCCCTCCCCATTCTCCTCCTGGGCCACCTCTACCCCCTTCAGCAGCCCCATCCCTTGGAGGCTCTGGAGCCCCACCCCCACCCCCACCCCCGATGCCACCCCCTCCACTGGGCTCCCCCTTCCCTGTCATCAGCTCTTCCATGGGGTCCCCTGGTCTGCCCCCTCCAGCTCCCCCAGGATTCTCCGGGCCTGTCAGCAGCCCCCAGGTGAGAGGTCGTGACCCACATTCTGCCTCTCCATTTTCACTTCCTTGTGACCCCAGATCCTTGTATGAATTTCCCCATGACCCACGGACTTCCGGATCTCTAATTCTGGAAGGCCTGTGGTCCTTGTGAGACCCCTTGCCCTTCCTGAGGTGACTGATCTTGCAGTGCATGTGTCCTCCCCATCCCTGAAAGGAACCTCAATATTCCTAATGTCCCTTTCATCCATCAGTGATTTTCTGCCCTTTTGGTCCCATCTGCCCTTCTGAGATACATGCCTTTCAGGGCCACTGTGTTGCACAGTTTCAAAGGACACTGCATGTTTAATCTCTGGGTTGTGCTCCTGGGCTGGCCCTTCACACAGGCTGCCGTGTAATAATGCCCTCTGGGATGTGCAGTGCAGGGCCCTGCCTAGGTGTTAGGGCATGATTTCCATCACTGCTGAGAGATTCTCTTTCCCAGTGAGTCTCCCCATGACTTCCCTATTTCCCCTATCCCAGATTAACTCAACAGTGTCGTTCCCTGGGGGTGGGTCTGGCCCCCCTGAAGATGTGAAGCCACCAGTCTTAGGGGTCCGGGGCCTGCACTGTCCACCCCCTCCAGGTGGCCCTGGGGCTGGCAAACGGCTATGTGCAATCTGCGGGGACCGAAGCTCAGGTATGGGGTTCAGAGGACCAGCGGAAAGGAAGAGAGAGAGAGAGAGTCTACCATTTACTATCCCCTGTGGGATCCTCATGGGGTTTCTTTGGAGCAAGTGAGCTGGGGGAGGCCCAATGAGAGCTAAAGAACCTGAAGCTCAGATGGGATGGGGGGTGGTCAGAGGGAAGAGTGGGACTGGACTACCTCTCATGTTCTCTTCTCCAGCTCGGTATGTGACAAGCACAGAGTAGACTTAAACTAAGTTTGCTGGAGGCAGATTGGCAAGAGAGTTAATGGTGAGCAGTTTACATGCAGCTTTTTATTGCTATTCTCCTCCCCCTGTAGGCAAACACTATGGGGTTTACAGTTGTGAGGGCTGCAAAGGCTTCTTCAAGCGCACCATTCGGAAGGACCTAACCTACTCATGCCGGGACAACAAGGACTGCACAGTGGACAAGCGCCAGCGGAACCGCTGTCAATACTGCCGCTATCAGAAGTGCTTGGCCACTGGCATGAAGAGGGAAGGTGAGGGCCTGCCCCACCCGGCTTCCTAGTCTATCCTATGGGAGAGGAGGGAGGAGGAAGAGGGAAGATTTCAGGAAATCTCCAACAAACCAGAGGCTGGACTGTTCTTTCTCTCCTCCAGAGGGCGATATTTGATTTCTCTCTCCCCTCATCAGCTCTTCATCCTGATACCCTGATCTGGTCCCTTGAATTTCCTTCTTAATGGTCTGCCTCTGGCCTGCACCTGTGACCCCTGCCTAGTCTGGTGTGAGGGTAGGATAACTTTCCTTCCCATGATGGGCTTCTCTGTGTCCCCTCTCCAACCTAAATAGCCTTTCCTGTCTTTGATCCAGTGCTCCCTCTATGGTCTCTGCCTCCCTGTTATCTGTGATCTCTCCTCCAGATTCTGGGATTCCACTCTTTTAATCTACAGACTTTACTGAAGACCTCAGGGCTGCTTTCCCTCTGCTTTATCTTATTTTCTTTTGTGTATTTCTGGAATTCTGAGATCCTTTAGTGAATAGCTTGATCAAATCCTTCATTTTAGAGATGAGCTTGAGGCCTAGATTTTCCAAGGTCATGCAACAAAAGTGTGGTAGAGCTGGGATCAGAACTCACATCTTTGAAGACCCAGCTCCTTATGCTGCCTCTTTGTTGAGTCAGAAGAGCACACAATTTGCAGTCAAGCACACTTGGGTTCAAGTGTATGACTTATTGTGTGTTGTGTGAACTTGGGCAAGTTATTTAACTTCTCCAGGCCCCAAATTCTTCATCTTTGGAAATGAAATGAGCTCATAGGTCATTATAATAGAGTAAATGTTAAAATGTGCTTGGCACATTTCTTAGTGTGTAGTCGACCCTTGGTTTAAATGTTAACTTTCTTCCTAATTCCTTTACCCTCTCCTTTCCTTCTCTTTCTTGGCTTTTGTGCCCTTTTTTAACCCCTGCTGCCAGACTGTCCCAGTTCACTGTTATTTGTAGTGACTTCCTCAATTCCTATAAATATCTCCTAAGGGCCATAAGATGCTGATAAGTCTCTAAAGACATTTCAGTACCTCCTCATGGCTGGCTGCTGACTTTCCACTTTTTCTCCCCCTTTCCCCCCAGCGGTACAGGAGGAACGTCAACGGGGGAAGGACAAGGATGGGGATGGGGAGGGGGCTGGGGGAGCCCCTGAGGAGATGCCTGTGGACAGGATCCTGGAGGCAGAGCTTGCTGTGGAGCAGAAGAGTGACCAGGGCGTTGAGGGTCCTGGGGGAACCGGGGGTAGCGGCAGCAGCGTGAGTGATGGGGTCAATCCACTCTCCTTCCTGATGTGGGGTGGAGGGGGTGGGAGCCTAAGTCTGTCCTGCCTTCCCCTCCCCTGTCTTCCCCTCACAATCCTCTTAACACTGCCTGGGATTGGAAGTGCTGCCCAACAAGGTCTCTTAAATATTTGAGGTGGGTGTTATAGTGTCCTCTGTCACCGCCCCCAAAACAACCCACTGCTTGGCAGAACCACAGGCAGGTCCCAAACCAATGTTTTCACAAATACCAGAAGAAAAGCCTGATTTACAAGGATTGATTTAGATGGGGCTTGAAGAGATACACTGTGTTGTAGGAGAGGGTGTCAAAAGTCTCTTATAGGGGGGGCTCCCAGTATACCCTCAGACTTCCCATAACTCTTACCCCTCATCCCCTGCAGCCAAATGACCCTGTGACTAACATCTGTCAGGCAGCTGACAAACAGCTGTTCACACTTGTTGAGTGGGCGAAGAGGATCCCACACTTTTCCTCCTTGCCTCTGGATGACCAGGTCATATTGCTACGGGCAGGTCAGTGACCTTGGATCCCTTTGACCTCTTGACATTTGACCCCTCTTTGACATGACTTTTAGTGATCCCAGTGCACACTTACATACTCAGGGAGCCAAGCTCATTGACCTCGCCACCTCTTCTTCTCTTCCCCTGGTGGGCTTTGAATCCCATGGCCTGATCTCTGGCTCCTGACCCTTGCTGCCCCCCACCCAGGCTGGAATGAGCTCCTCATTGCCTCCTTCTCCCATCGATCCATTGATGTTCGAGATGGCATCCTCCTCGCCACAGGTCTTCACGTGCACCGAAACTCAGCTCATTCTGCAGGCGTGGGAGCCATCTTTGATCGGTCAGTGGCCCTCCAATGGGCTGGCCTATAGGTAGAGGGGGTGGGGCTATAGGCTGGTCCGTGTCCAAGGCTGGCTGAGCTGTGACCTTTGAGTGACCTGCAGGTCCCTCTCCAGGGTGCTGACAGAGCTAGTGTCCAAAATGCGTGACATGAGGATGGACAAGACAGAGCTTGG